AAAACCAGAAATATTTTGATTTGGAAATGCTGCCCTGGTGCCTCATGGGAGTTGTAGTCTGGGGGCCTCAAGCTCAGGGCCGGCTCCAGGTTTTTGGCGCCCCAAAGACAAGCAAAAAAAAAAAAGAAAAAAGAAAAAGAAAAAAAAAAAAAGCTGCGATCGCGATCTGCGGCACTTCGGCGGCAGGTCCTTCACTCCGACGGGGAGCGAGGGACCTGCTGCCGAATTGTCGCCGAAGAGCCGGACGTACCGACCCTCTCCGTTGGCCGCCTAAAGCACCTGCTTGCTGGGCTGGTGCCTGGAGCCGGGCCCGCTCAAGCTGCCATCCTCAGTAGGGTTCCCTGATTGCATTATGTGGCTCAGACAGTCCCAGACATAACTGTGCTGGTCTCTACTACCAAAGAGCAGTGGGGCCAAAACAGGGCCTGTAGCAGAAATGAGAAGTTCCTTCAGAAACTCCCAGCCCCTACCCATAAGGGAGTTTAAATATGGCTTCAGGGGCTTGGTTCACCTTCCACACCACAGGAGGATTCCCAATCCTCCAGGACAGGTTTGTATCCAAAGCATAAGGGCCTGTTTGACCCCAGCCTTTTGCTGCCTTCTTCTCGTTTCCATGAACTCCAATATGAATGCCCTACCTGAGCCAACTCTGCTCCAGCCATGTCCCTGTCCCTGCCCCATGCCCCGGGAGGGTAGTGCAGTCTGGAATGGACCAGATGTGGTTCTTCAGCCTGTCAGGGTAAGAAGATGGGGCAGGTTTCAGAAGGGGCTTTAGGCCATTTCACACCCTGATTCCCACCAGGCCTTTTCCCTGCAGACAGATGCTCATGAATCGGTGGTGGTGGGAAAAGGCTTGGTCGCTTCATGCCAGTGCAGACCCAGATCCTCCCACCAGGACTGCCACATTTCAACCCCCCACTCGCCCCAATACCAGAGTCTCTGAACCAAATACTAGAAAAGAGATGAAAGGAGCCGCTCTGGGGGATCCCCCCTGATACTGTCCCCAAGGCAGCACATTCCCCCAGCCGAGCGGGGACCAGGCAGAGGCAGGAACTGGCTTTTCCTCTCCCTGCTCCTCCCCAGGAAAGTCAATCTGCGCCGGGGTGCTGCAGGGAATGGGGCTGGGCAGTGCTGGGAGCCGGGAACCTCTTTCTCCACCGATTGCTCCTGCTGCCCCAGCCAGTCTCTCCCTCCTGCCTCCTCCCTTCCCCTCGGGCTAGGAGACTCGGTCCCTGACCCGGCCCGGGGCGTTCGCTCTCCCGGAGCTGGCTCGGCTCCTGCAGGCGCTCAGGGGGGCAGAGCAGGGAGGGGTGGGGGGAGTGGAATGGGATCGGGGAGGGCAGCAGCTCTGGGACTCGCAGACCCCGCCCGGGAGCAAAGCTGGGGCGAGGAGGGACCGTTGATGCAGAGTCACTTTCCTGCCCGGCCCCAGCCCTTTTCCCCGGATCTCTCCCCTCACCTGGCGTCTGTGGCTCAGGGGCTGGTATCGGCAGAACCTGGGGCTGGTTCCAGCCACAGGAGAAAGTCTCCCCGGCTGGGCACAGAGGGGCGTTGTCTCTCTCCCGGCTGAGAAGCGGTGGCTGCTCAGCCCGGCTCCCCTGCATGACAATGGAGGGGTCATTAATATCTCACCCCGGAAGCTCAACTGCTGATATCCTGATCTGAGTGCAGAAAGAGCAGCCCTCTCCCACAGCTTTATCCAGAGCCCTCCTGTGGCAACAGCTAATTTCTACACTAGAGATAGATTTGCGCAGACCTCCTCCTGGGGATGCAGCTTATACAAGCAAAGATGTGATTTTGCCAGCAGAGCTTAAACCAGCTGCTGCCCAAGCAAAATAAGCTGCAGGGACACAGCTGAAGCACTGTGATGCTGATATAATTGTGTCTGCACTATAGAAATGTCGCTAAGAAAATCACCCCTCTAAGTGTAGTTTAGACCTGGCCTTTAAAACCTCAGGGCTAGTCTCCAGTGCTTAATTTGTGCCAGGGCTTGCCAGCGCTGAGCCTGTGGCACCTGTGGGATTGGCAGTTCATAGCTCCAGCACTCTGGTCTTGCTGCATCAGTTATTAATGTAAAAAAATTGCTTGTGCCCTGGCACCTCTTGCATTACAAATTAAGCACTGCTAGTCTCCTGCAGTGTCACTGGGTATTGTAGCATTCAATACATGTCTCTGCTAGCAGCAGCTCTCACAGGCAGGGGGCATGTTCCAGCAGCCTCTGTGTCTCCCATCCCAGCGAAGGTTTTGATCTGGTGGAACTGTCCCACATGCATGTGTGCTAGGGTGGAAGGGTGAGTGGGGACAGGGAGTATGGGTATCTGTACCCCACTATGGACACTGCTGCAGAGAGGGATGGGCAGGGCTGGAGGACTGGAACTTGGGAGAGCAGAATTCCTGCTCAATCCAAAGGTTTTGAGTCCCCTGGGATTCTTTGGGGCTTCTGAGATTTCTTGCAGACTTTACTCTCTTGGCTGCAGAGATCCTGTCAGAGCCACACTGTGGCACTGGTGTCTCAGATCGACATGCTGCTACAAGAGCTCCAAGAGAATTTGGAATGGTAATATTAATAGCCACTGCATGTTCACTCTGAAACCGAATGACACCAATTCTCCTGCCAATCTTATTAAGCAATTCCTTGCTAGTCTTAGGACTCTTCGCCTCTTATTGGCTCACCATTATTTCAAGACAGTGGGAGTTAAAGCCTTTATTTCATAGATGTTTAAGGTCAGAGGGGATCATTATGATCATCCAGTCTGATCTCTTGCATAGCTCTTGCCAGAGAAGAAAGACAAGGACATATGACCCAGCTTTTATAACATAGGGTCATACTTTCTTGGTTATTCAAAGATAAATATATCAGGTGGGATTCACGAAGGTATTTAGGCATCTAATTCCCATTACACCATCCTTCTAGGCTAGAGAGTTGCACACTTCATTGTTTATGTAGTCTGAGCTTAACTGTCAGCAGGGCCTCTCACCTCTTACTCTGGTCAAAACCTGATTGATTATGGATTTCCATAAAAATTGGGCATTTCTAGTTTTCCAATTTCCACTCTAATCAAAAGGGTTCTGACCAGAATGAGGGGAACAAAAGAGATGGCTGAAGTAGGGACAAGACCAAATTTTGGGGATGCCTGCAGTTGGGGTGGGGGGCAGGGCTTAAATTCAACCAGAGCCATCTGGAGCAGAACTCCGGTCCATATTTTTAAACCCATGGGAGCCCCCAATGTACCCTGCAGGGCAGAAGCCCCAAGTGCCGGTGTGCCCCGTGGGGCCAAAATGTAACGAGAGGTCTGGACTTGACATGACCCACAGCCTTCTTGTGTATGGACTTAGCATAACCGGCAGACATCTTGTATGCTCAGTCACCATAAATTAGAAACAAAAACTATAGAGGCAGGAGAATTTGGCCTTGATGCAGGTGGACAGATAGAAAAGTATCAGCTGCAGCATTACTAACAGGGATAGCTAGATATTCACAAAGTCGGGGGGATGGAGAACTAACCTTGAGTTTCTGCAGTTTCTTCCTGATAATAAAAAAGTATGAGGTTTTGCTGTTGCAAGTGTATCCCACTAAGGAAGCATAAAGAGAAGTGACCTTAAGAACTTTTTACTGACTTTGAAAAATGCAAAAGCTAACAAGTAGGTGGTCTTAGGCACGTGAACCCCTGTATAGTGAGAACGATTGGTTAGTGGGTTTTGCATAGCTATGTTTTAAGTAAAATAATTGGTTAAGGCATAAATAAGAGAGAACCTCATTTTAATTATATAATGAGGGTCAGAAAAGAAGCTCGTTGAAGCTTAACTCCAGAATACTGCTCAAGACCAAAGCTACTAGGATTTTTAAACCCTGCATGACCAGACTGTGGAGAAGCCGGAACCCAGATGACCTGACCCTGACTGGCCATCGGGAGACGTCTATCTTATTGGGAGTGGTGAGCATAAGATACTTGGTGTGTGTATTCTGTTGATTTGTTGCTAATTGTTAATAAATGCGTGTACCTATTTAAGGATATTCACTGTGTGAAGGCACTGGGAAAAGGCCTTGCAGATCAATAGAGCTCTGAGTCCATCAGGAATGAATGTTAGCCCTGAGCCCAGGGAGGAGTAGAGCCCTGAGCCCATAGAGGGGTAAAGTTGGGTCCCTTATGCCCTGAGTACCCATGAGGATGGGTAGGGGTGGAATTTAAAATTGTGTGGGTAAGAGTCAGGCCGAGCCCCGGCATGCCCCACGGGGCAGAAGCTCCAAGCCCCGGCGTGCACAGTGGGGCTGAAGTCCCAAGCCCTGGGGCTCCTGCAAATACTCCAGGAGAATTTAAGCCCTGTTGAGGGGCGAGGAGCCCAACTAAAAGAGTGCTAGCCAGAGTGGGGGGAGGGGCCACTAACCCCAATCTAACTCTCACATCACAGCGGCACACCTGTATCCTGAGGGACCCAACGTGATTTTACAGTTTTCTGATTTTCCCCAAAGTCAGTAGGGTTCTGTCCATTAATGCCTAGGACATTCCCTGAAATTTTGGAATTGATCAGATATAGCTGTCAAAAGTTGTCATGTTACTTACACATAGACAAGACAGAAATGCCATTGAGTTGAGTACAGAAGGTCCTTGTTACTTAACCAATGAAACCAGTGCATAGACAAACCCACCAGCTTAATCTGACAGGTCACAACGCCTGGCTGTTCAGGGTAGATAGAATCTTCAGTCCAGCTCACGGACGTTCTAGGTCACATCTACACGCTGGCAATTAAAATGGCATAGCTGCAGCACTGTGGTTACACTGGTATAACCCCATAGTGCAGACGTAGCGCACAGCAAGGGAAGGGGTTTTTCCGTTGCTGTAGGAACACTCCCTCTCCAAGTGACAGTAGCTGGGTTAATGGAAGCATTCTTCCATGGACCTAGCTGCATCTGTGCCAGGGTTAGATTAGCATAGCTACAGTGGGCAAGGATGTGGATTTTTCACACCCAAGTGCCATAATTATATTAACCTACATATTAAGTGCAGACCAGGCCTTCCCTGCCTCAGCTGTAGTCTTGTTTGGTCCCGATAATGCTGCTTTCTTCTCTGGGTTGCACTCATATTGGGACAGGACACCAGCCCTGCTCAGAAGCTACCATTCTGGGCTCCAGCATGTCAGTTCCAATTTCCTTTGTCAAAAGTAAAGCCTAGATTAATGAAGGGATAGGCATTTTGACACTGAACGTCACAGTGCCGAACATTTAGGCACATAAAAGCCACAGGAACACGCCTGCTATCCATAAAGCCTGAGGTAGGTGCCCAGGCTCAATGAATGGGGAGAGCCATGTGCCTTAGATTCCAGGGAGCCGCATAAGCTCGCTAGTGGGAGATTCCGATGAAAGGAGTGTTGTGCAACCTCCACCCCCATGGAGATAGGGCCTAAATAAAGGCTGCAGGGAACCCTCTCTTGGAGTTAGGCACCTGAGGCTAGGAGCATGGGATTAGAATTAAGATGCCTAAAACTGGGTATTAGGTATTTAAGTACCTTTGTGAGTATAGGCCAGTCTCTCTGTGTTGTGTGTGCAAATACCACCTTGAAAATGTGAGCAGAGTCCTGCTTCACACACAACTTTGCACTGACTTAACGGGTTAAAGAAATGATTTAGTAAAATCAGTGTAACCCTCACATTTGAAGAGTGGTTTATTTCAGTTAACTTCACCCTATTCATTATCGACTGAAGCTACACTGCAATTGGCCACTCTTAAACCAAAATAAGAATGTCCACAAGTGAGTTTGAATTGATTTAACTAAATCATTTTAAATTCACACCTTATATTAACATGTTAGCACAACTTACTTCAGTACCCAAGTACAGAGTGTCAAAGATCTGCCAGTTAATCTGTAGGCTTTGATAATTTCCACTCACCATATTTGCCAATATGCAATTCATCAATAAATAGTCCATTCTGTTGACAAAATGTGAACATCACTAACAACTGTACCACAAACCATAAACTTATGACTGTGTTCTCCTTTCCCCGGTACAGAACCCCACCCACCCCAGAGATAAGCTGCAAATGGGTATAAACTGGTCATGCATGTGTTTAGACTGGAATCAAGAAGAAGATTTCTAACCATTAGAGGAGTGAGGTTCTGGAACAGCTTCCCATCATGAGGAGTGGTGGCCAAACAACTTCACTAGTTTTAAGATCGAGCTTGGTACATTTATGAATCAGAGTATATGTTGAGGTTGCCTGGAATAGTATGGAACTGGACTCCGAGACATGGAGTCTCTTCCAGTCCTATGTTCTATTTTATCTATTATTTTATATAGGTACTGTGCTCCCCACCATAGTATTTGAGTGCTAATGGTCCCTATGTGCTAACTACTTATGTTAAACAATGTTCCAACTTACATTTAGCTGTGATGTTCAGAGTGCCTTTCCCAGCCCTGAAAAAAAGCTCCCTGTGGCTTGAAACTTGTCTCTTTCACCAACAGAAGTTGGTCCAGTAAAAGATATCACCTCCCACACCTTATCTCTCTAATAACCTGGGACTGACACAGCTACAACTATGCTGCTTTCCAGTAGTGTGTTAAGCATGTTCCTATGCAAAAACACAGGGATCCCATCAGTGTATCAAACTCCTGTAGTCTATGGCACACCAGTGCTGCTGGAGTTGTCCAGTGGGAGTGCTGAACTGTGGGATAATGTCTTGCAGTTGGGGGGATGTAAGTGGCACTTCCATGAGAGGTGGTTGCAAGGGGGCCCATAGTAGTCTGTATTGTATGACTGTGTTTAAATGTAACCTCTACCTACTTTTAATAATTGCTGTCCATTTCCTTTTTTTAATGTTTGGATCCTGAAGTGTGTCCTGCTTTCACACCTTTGATAGAAGGGGAGGTCAATCTAGTTCTGTCCTTTGCTGGCTGTTTCATGGTTAATAAGCCTCCTCTTTGGGAAGAGATTTTTGAACTAGTGGAATCATAGAAGTGTAGGACTGGAAGGGACCTCGAAAGGTCATCTAGTCTAGTCCCCTGCACTCAGGGCAGGACTAAGTATTATCTAGACCATCCCTGACAGGTGTTTGTCTAACCTGTTCTTAAAAATCTCCAATGATGGAGATTCCACAACCTCCCTAGGAAATTTATTCCAGTGCTTAACCACCCTGAAAGGATGTTTTTCCTAAGGTCCAGCCTAAACTGCCCTTGCTGCAATTTAAGCCCATTGCTTCTTGTCCTAGCCTCAAAGGTTAAGGAGAACAATTTTTCTCCCTCCTCCTTGTAATAACCTTTTATAGATTTGAATGTCTCCTCTCAGTCTTCTCTTTTCCAGATTAAACAAGCCCAGTTTTTTCAATCTTTGCTCATAGGTCATGTTTTCTAGACCTTTAATCATTGTTGTTGCTCCTTTCTGGACTCTCCAATTTGTCCACATCTTTTCTGAAATGTGGCACCCACAACTGGACACAATACTCCAGCTGAGGCCTAATCAGCATGGAGTAGAGCAGAAGAATTACTTCTTGTGTCTTGCTTACAACACTCTTTCTAATACATCCCAGAATGATATTTGCTTTTTTTCGCAACGGTGTTACACTGTTGACTCATATTCGACTCATCTCTAGCTTGGCCAAAACCAGAAATATTTTGAATGGGAAATATCATCACAGTGCCTCATGCGAGTTATAGCGTGGATATCTCATGCCTGAATTGTTCTCTATAGGCCAGGTTCACCTATATGTTCCATGATGCACCACACTTTTCCCTCTTGGGGTATATCTACCCAACAGCTGGGAGGGAGCATCCCAGAGTGGGTAGACAGACACATGCTAGCTCTGCTCAAGCTAGTGCACTAAAATAGCAGCACAGCCGGGGTAGTCTGGACGGGTTCGTATTCAGGTGGCTGGCTCAAGCTGCCGCCCTAGCTCACTCTGCAATTTTCACCATACTAACTTGAGCAGAGCTAGCACGTGCTGTCTGCCCAAGTTGGGAAGCATGCTACCAGCTGCAGTGCAGACATACTCTTAGAGAAGAGAGGTGGTGCATCATGGGAGATGTAATCCAGCTGAGAGCCTGGCTCATAGGGGAGAATAGGGACATGAGGAGGCAACTGAACTATAACTCCCATGAGGCAATGTAGCAACATTTCCAAAGCAAAATATTTCAGGATCGGGACATTCAGTTTTTTTGCCCCCCCTCCCAAAAACCCACAAATTCCCCCGCCCCCAGAAAGCAGACACTTGACATTTTTCACAAAAACGGATCAAATCAACCCCCCCAATTTTCCATCAAAAATAGTTTTCATGGGAAAGTTTCAACCCATTCTACAGATGTATAGTGTGCCTCTCCTGCGTGGGATCTAGGCACTGCTACTTTGCATGGGCACCACTGTAATATGCAATAAAGTCTGGGCTGTCACCACAATAGGGACAGTCACAGGGCAGCCCTCCTTCCTGTGTTTCCGTTGATGTGACACAAGTCCTGAGCTGTGACGGAAGCTTTTCCCGCACTCGGGGCATCCATAGGGCTTCTCTCCAGTGTGGAGTCTCTGGTGGGAAGTCAGTTGTGAGCTTACGGTGAAGCTTTTCCCGCAGTCGGGGCATTTATAGGGTTTCTCTCCTGTGTGGATCCTCTGGTGCCTGATCAGCTGTGAGCTGCAGCTGAAGGTTTTAGCACAGTCCAGGCACTTGTAGGGCTTTTGCTCCATGTGGGATCTCTGATGGACAATGAGGTTTGAGCTCCGATTGAAGCTTTTCTCACAGTCAGGACATTTATAGGATTTCTCCCCTGTGTGGGTTCTCTGGTGTCTAACGAGCCTGGAGCTGTTCTTGAAACATTTATTGCACTCGAGGCATTTATAAGATCTCTCCCCTGTGTGGGTTTTCTGATGCCTGGTGAGGTGCGAGCTCTCATTGAAACTTTTCCCACACTTGCTGCATTTATAAGGTCTTTCTCCCGTGTGGGTTCTCTGGTGTCTAATAAGGTCAGAGCTGTTCCTGAAACATTTCCAACACTCAAGGCATTTATAGGGCTTCTCTGCCGTGTGCACTCTCTTGTGGATAACAAGGGTTGAGCTCTGGCCGAAACTCTTTTCACACTCATCACACTTATAGGGTCTCTCTCCCGTGTGGATTTTCTGATGTCTCAGGAGGTAGGAGCTCACGCTGTAGCTTTTCCCACAATCGGGACACTTGTAAGGCAGGTCTCCCGTGTGGGTTCTCTGATGTGCAGAAAGATTGGAGCTGTGATTAAAGCCTTTCCCGCAGTCGGGGCATTTGTAGGGTCTCTCTCCCGTGTGCAGTCTCTGATGGGTAGCGAGGTTCGAACTCCTGCTGAAGCTTCTCCCACATTCGTCACACTGATAGGGCCTTTCTCCTGTGTGGATTCTCTGGTGATCAATAAGAGCTGATCTCCACCGGAAGTTCTTCCCACACTCACCACATGTGTTTGGTTTCTCTCCAGTGGGGATTTCTTGGTGGATGGTTTCTTTGAGCTCTCTCTCCACAGGCTGTTTTCCTTTCTGCCTAAGGGACCGGCGCAGATTCCACCTGTCAGTCCCCTGCTCTGGGCTCTGGGAAACGTTCCCTTCACGATGTTGCAATAACATCCTGGGCGGTTCCACTTGCTCAGCACCTTCCTGCTGCAGATTCTCTTCCTCATTCTTGCTCACTGCCCCATCACCTGCTGGGACAGAGAGAGAATCCAGACAGAAGTCAGTCCCTTTGCTGGGGGTAATGGGAACCTCTGAAAGAGGAACAAGAAAGGGGGGAACAAGCCAAAGAGGAGCTGATTCAGGAGCTGAATACCTGAGAGGAGAAAGGAGGGGACCAATTCTCTTCCACATCACATCTGAACACTAAGAGAGAGGGAGAGACTGACAGCTATTAGTCAGGGTGGATGGGAAGCTATGGTGAGTGACGTCTGCCATGAGAATACAACCCCTGCTGGGGATAATCCTGAACTGGGTGAGAAGAGGCAGAACTGGTGGAGCTCATGGACCTTTTGTGGGAATCTCAGAATTTTGCTTCCCTCACTGATTGTTTCTGAGTTGGTTGAACTACCCCAGGGAGCTCCCTTTCCTCAGAGCCCTGGACAGCCAGGACCCACAGCTCTTCCCCTTACTCTGGCCAGGAGGGGATGCTGGGTTTGGGAATGGGAAATCCTGCTCAGGGGACAGAAAGCAAGTGGAATCAAACCTACCCTCTGTTTGCTGATTGGTTGTTAGGGAGGCTATGCCAGGATTTTAACCCCTTTCTTTGCTCTAGGAACATTTAATACGAACAACAAGGGAAATAGTCCCAGAGCCCCCTGGGAAAGGCAGCACGTGTGGCCCAGATGCTGAGTCAATGAAGTGAGTCTAGGGATTTGCACCGACAGGGAACTTGAAGCCAGATTTTTAAAGGTCTTTAGGTGCTTAAAGATGCAGACAGGCTCCTTTTGGGATTTTCAATAGCCCCAAGGCACCTATCTCCATTGTGCTTTGGAAAATCCCATGAGGCAGCTATCTGCATAGTTAGATATCTAAATACCCCTGAAAACCTGGCCCTTGGGGGACTTAGGCAGAGCTGATTCATGAGACACAAGTCCATCCCTGAGTTGGCAGAGAGGTCACAGTCCCCACAGGATGGAACCTGCCCTGGGAAGAAGGGGCTGGGAACAGGGAGTTTCTCCCACTTGGGAGCCTTACTTATGGGAAGAGCAGCACCATCGTTATGTCCCTGAATCTCTGGTCCCGTGGGAGAGGTGCAGAGGGGATGGTCTCTCACACATGGGATATGGGATAAAATAAATAAATAAATTAAAGGACCTTGAAAGGGCATCGAGTCCAGCCCCCTGCCTTCGCTAGCAGGACCAAGTACTGATTTTGCCCCAGATCCCTAAGTTGCCCCCTCAAGGATCGAGCTCATAACCCTGGGTTTAGCAGGCCAATGCTCAAACCACTGAGCTATCCCTCTGAAATCTGGCTCCCTCTGAAATCTAAGAGGCCAGGAAACATCCTTGAACACAACCCAACCCAGATGCTTCAGCTTGCAGTACCCAAGGAGACAGGAATCCTTACCCAGCAAGGTCACAGTCTCAGAATTCTCTTGCATGACGTCCAGCAGAGCCCACTGCCTCAGGAAAATACACAGGCACCGCCTTGAAAGTCACTGGCTGCTGAAACAGCAAGGGTCCCTCACTCAGTACATGCTGCCCCAGCACAATCTCACAAGTTCAGTCACTTGCTCCCCTTCCTCAGCCTCCCTTGCCATCTGCCCTATTGGCTGGGTTAGAGCTCCCATGAGCCCTGGCATACGTCCCCTGCTGACTGGCCCCTCATGTCAGCCCCAAGTTACCCCGTCCCACACAGACCTGCTGCCCCCTGCGCTGTTTCCAGCATCACGCTGCCAACAGTTAAATAGATGTTTAAATCTCACCCTCTTTGTGGCTCTTGGCAGAGTATGCAGAAAGCTCAGATTAATTTTCACTGGCTATTTAGTTGACCTCAGTTTCAGTTTTCCCACCATGCCAGGCCTGCTAGATGGCACATCAGGGAGCTGGGTGTGGTTCATTTTTACACTCCTTATATTCAGGGTCTATGCAAAGTCCTACTTGGCTCTTGGTGTAAGTTAGAGCAGCCTTAATGCGGCTCTAACTTACACTTTGCTTTCCACAGCCCCCTATGGGCCCCAAGAGACAGAAGAGCTGTCGTGCAATACGTTCTGACCATGCTCCCAACACACACACACCCCAAAACAGCTATCCCCTAATTCTGGGAGCTGTGCTTACACCCCCTTTCTGTAGCTCTACACTGCAACTAGACACCCATGGGTGGACTGTGTCAGCCAAATCAGGCTCATGGGGCTCAGGCTGCAGGGTTGTTTCACTGCTGTGTTGATGTCTGGGCTTAGGATGTAGCCCAGGCTCTAGGACACTGTGATGGAGGAGGGTTTAAAAACATGGCCTTTAGGGAATATTTGGCAGGGACACCCAGAGGATTCAGGGGGCCTGGAGCAAAGCAATTTCGGAGGCCCCTTCCATAAAAAAAAGTTGCAATACTATAGAATACTATATTCTCAACGGGGCCCCTGCAGGGCCCAGGGCAAATTGCCCCACTTGCCCCACCCACCCCAATCTGGGCAGCCCTGATATTTGGCAAGCAAATTCTACAGACAAGTGTAGAAAAGCACTAGAGTGTTGGATTGAAAGACAAAATAACAGTTGACAAAGGCAGTTTCCATTGACGGATCAAAGAAATGAAAGAAGTTTTGACACCAACCCAGGAAATCAGAAAGCCTTGAAGACATATGATCCCAAAGAATAAACTTATGTATTAAAAAAATAGAAAATCTCCCCCCAGGAAATTTTAAAATTAAAATGTTGCAAGGCAAATGGGAACTGTTATACTAGAAACACTGAGATCGGATTGCTAAAGCCACTAGCGAATTAATATTTTCAGTGATTATTGCACAGTGATGCACAATGACATCCGCCTGCAGAATGTTAATGCAGGTACGTTATGAAGTGCTCAGAGTGAGCAAAAGAACAGTTTAAAAAGAAAACAACTTAAAGAATGCAACTACGTTCCATGGATCACAAGAAAAAGGCAGAGCAATTCAGGCAATGAGAACAGCAGCTAGGGCACTTTGTGAACTGCCAAGAGGTTTTATGCAGACACAGAAACTGATAAGGGACTCTTTCAAACCCTAAAAACATGTCTGACAATTACCTTTTTTGGTGGGGGGGGGGGAAGGGGGAGGAGCTGTATGTCAAATATGTCCCTGAACCAAGTCTCCTTTGGCAGCTCAATACACCATGTTATTTAGGGAAGATCTGCCTGGCCTATACATTGGGCTGCCCCCTGTCTTCAAGAACTCAGCCCTAGAAAGTGGGTGCTGAGCTGCAGAAGGGAGGGGAGAGGGCAGCCCCTCTGCCCCCACACTATTTTTGCAAAGATTGCAGATGGCTCCCCCATCTGGGGTCACTTCTATCCCCTTTGCCACTCCCTATTGCGGGGTTTCCCCTCTCCCCCTGGCTGGCAGTGCCTGTATCCTGTTCTTAACCCCGCTGCCTACCCCCTGCCCTGATTTTGCTCCTTGGCCCCTCTCCTGGCTCTGCCTCCAGCCGTGTGACACCCACGCCGCCCGTGCAGTCAGTTTGCCCCCTGCACAGACACTGCTCCTCCCTCCGATTTGCCCCCTCGAGCGCGTTGTGCAGAGTGGGAGCCGGGGCACCAGCAGCAGGGACTGAGCAGCCTCGGTTTGCAGGAGCAGCAAAGCAGCAGATGGTCCATTGCCCCGCCCCGCCCTTTCCCCCGGGTCTCTCCCCTCACCTGCAGGCTCCGGCTCAGGGGCTGCTGGCGGCAGAGCTCGGGACTGCCCCAGGGGCTGGTTCCAGCCCCTGGAGAAAGACCCCCTGGCTGGGCACAGAGGGGCACTAGGGAAGGGCTCTCCCCGAACACATCCCGCTGGGGAGCAGCAGCGGCTCAGCCCGGGCTCCCGGCTCACAATAGAGGTTGCAGCAGCGTCTGACCCGGGAAGTTCAGCCCCGGATCTGCTCAGAAACAGAGAGAGCAGCCGCCTCCCTCCCGGATGAACAGAGTAGCATTGCGCGGCGGCGGCGGGGGGCGTTAACTCCTCAGCTGCCGGAAGCTGCACGCCCAGGCAGGGGCGGGGGCTCGCAGTGACAGGGACTTCGAGCCCAGCGGAGGCAGGCTGTGATCGCCTCGGGCACAGTGCTTCTATATCCTGGGAAATTTCCCAAAATCTGGGAATTTGTGAGTAAAATGTTTTGAATGAAAATTCCCAATTTCCCAAGTTGAAACATTTTACTCACAAATTTCCCAGGTTTTGGGAAATTTCCCAGGATATAGAAGCACTGTAAAAAACGTTATCTGGGAATTTTCCACCAGATTTGGGAAATTTTTAGCGCTAGGTTGGGAAAAGTTGGCATCACGATATAGAAGCACTGCTCAGGCACATCCCTGGGGGGAGTGGGGCAAAGGGAGGTTCTGGGGAAGGATCCTTTGACCCTCCACGCTGGGCACTGCTGTGAAAGTTACTAGTGACCCCCCTTAATCCGAGCAGTCCTTATGTCAGCCAGCGGCCATTAGGGGGAAGCAGACACCTTAAGGACACAGTAGGCTGAACTTTTCAACTGTTTTCCCTTCAAGGCCTTAAGGTAGTTGGAGCTGGTCCCAAGCTAGTTTTCACTGACCAGATAGCAAAAGCACGGGTCTGACAACCACCAATCAAGTGTTAACACTGCAAGGACCTTGGTCTGAATGTGTATAAAGGATCTGTAAAATGTGTGTAAGATAGAGTTTTTGTACTAAGCTGCAAAGCTCTCCTTTCTTCTGCAGAATAAAACAACTCTTCCTTATCCCTGTCTGGCTGTTATTGGCTCTCAGCTAGGCGGACCCGATATTTCGGTAACACTGCTCCAGTGGGTGGTGGGCAGAGCTGGAAGCGCTCAGTCTCCCCGGGGGCTGAGAGCTTCCTGGGTCAGATGCTGCTGCTCCCCAGCTAGGTGTGTGTGGGGAGAGCCCTTCCCTAGTGCCCCCTCTGTGCCCAGTCAGGGGGACTTTCTCTGGGGGCTGGAACCAGCCCCTGGAGCAGCCCCGGGCTCTGCCGACACCAGCTCCTGAGCCGCAGACTCCAGGTGAGGGGAGAAACCTGGGGGAAAGGGCTGGGGCAGGGCAGGAAAGTGACTCTGCACCAATGGCCCCTCCTCACCCCAGCCCTGCTCCCAGGCGGGGGTCTGCGAGTCCCAGAACTGCTGCCCTCCCTGACCCCCCCACCCCCAGGCTCTGCTCCCCTGAGCGCCTGCAGGAGCCAAGCCAGCTCTGGGAGTGCCAAGTATGTCTACACTATGAAATTAGATCAAATTTATAGAAGTCGATTTTTTAGAAATCAATTTTATACAGTCGATTGTGTGTGTCCTCAGTTAAGACCATTAGGACCATTAACTTGGTGGAGTGTGTCCACAGTACTGAGGCTAGCGTCGACTTCCAGAGCATTGCACTGTGGTAGCTATCCTACAGTTCCCGCAGTCTCCGCCGCCCATTGGAATTCTGGGTTGAGATCCCCATGCCTGATGGGTCAAAACCATTGTCGCGGGTGGTTCTGGTTACATGTCATCAGCTCCCCCTCCATGAAAGTAATGGCAGACAATCGTTTCAAGCCTTTTTTCCGGGGTTACCTGTGCAGACGCCATACCACGGCAAGCATGGAGCCTGCTCAGCTCACCATCTCCGTACATCTCCTGGGTGCTGGCAGACGTGGCACTGCATTGCTACACAGCAGCAGCTCATTGCCTTTTGGCAGCAGATGGTGCATTATGATTGGTAGCCATCGTTGTTGTCTCCTGGGTGCTCTTTTAGCTGACCTCGGTGAGGTTGGTCAGGGGTGTCTGGGCAGACATGGTTGCTCCTGGCAGACCTCGGTGAAGTCTGTCAGGGGCGCCTGGACATAAATGAGAGTGACTCCAGGTCATTCTCTTTTTAAGTTTCGTCTCCTGGAGATTCAGTCCTGCCTGCAGTCGTACTGCACTGTCTTCTGGCGAGCACCCAGGAGACAAAGATGTCTAGCAGTTGTACTGCACAGTCTGCTGCTAGCCTAAGATGTATAAGAGAGATGGAGTGGATCAAAACAAGAAAGAGACCAGATTTGTTTTGTATTCATTTTTATTCATTTGCTCCCCCGTCCCTCCCTCCCTCCCTCCCTGAAGAATGGGGGGAGGGATAGCTCAGTGGTTTGAACATTGGCCTGCTAAACCCAGGGTTGTGAGTTCAATCCTTGAGAGGGCCATTGAGGGACCTGTGGCAAAAATCTGTCTGGGGATTGGTCCTGCTTTGAGCAGCGGGTTGGACTAGATGACCTCCTGAGGTCCCTTCCAACCCTGATATTCTATGATATCATCAGTTGCCCCTCCCTCCATCAGAGCAACGGCAGACAATCGTTTTGTGCCTTTTTTCAGCGCAGACGCCATAGCACGGCAAGCATGGAGCCCATTCAGATCACCACCACAATTATAAGCACTGTAAACACCACGCGCATTATCCTGCAGTATATGCAGAACCAGAACCTGCAAAAGCAAAACCAGGCGAGGAGGCGACAGTGGCGCGGTGACGAGAGTGATGAGGACATGGACACAGACTTCTCTCAAAGTACGGGCCCCGGCAATGTGGACATCATGGTGTTAATGGGGCAGGTTCATGCCGTGGAACACCGATTCTGGGCCCAGGAAACAAGCACAGACTGGTGGGACCGCATAGTGTTGCAGGGGTGGGACAATTCCCAGTGGCTGCGAAACTTTCGCATGCGTCAGGGCACTTTCATGGAACTTTGTGACTTTCTTTCCCCTGCCCTAAAGCGCAAGAATACCAAGATGAGAGCAGCCCTCCAGTTGAGAAGCGAGTGGCGATAGCCCTGTGGAAGCTTGCAATGCCAGACAGCTACCGGTCAGTCGGGCATCAATTTGGAGTGGGCAAATCTACTGGTGGGGGCTGCTGTGATCCAATTTGCCAGGGCAATGAAAGACCTGCTGATATCAAGGGTAGTGACTCTGGGAAACGTGCAGGTCATAGTGGATGGCTTTGCTGAAATGGGATTCCCTAACTGTGATGGGGTGATAGACGGAACCCGTATCCCTATCTTGGCACAGGAGCACCAAGGCAGCGAGTACATAAACCGAAAGGAGTACTTTTCAATGGTGCTGCAAGCACTGATGGATCACAAGGGACGTTTCACCAACATCAACGTGGGATGGCCGGGAAAGGTACATGATGCTCGCATCTTCAGGTACTCTGGTCTGTTTTAAAAGCTGCAGGAAGGGACTTTCTTCCCAGACCAGAAAATAACCGTTGGGGATGTTAAAATGCCTATAGTTACCCTTGGGGACCCAGCTTACCCCTTAATGCCATGGCTCATGAAGTCGTACACAGGCAGCCTGGACAGTAGTCAGGAGCTGTTCAACTATAGGCTGAGCAAGTGCAGAATGGTGGTAGAATGTGCATTTGGACATTTTAAAAGCACGCTGGCGCAGTTTACTGACTCAGATAGACCTCAGTGAAACCAATATTCCCATTGTTACTACTGCTTGCTGTGTGCTCCACAATATCTGTGAGAGTAAGGGGGAGACGTTTATGTCAGGGTAGGAGGATGAGGCAAATCGCCTGGCCGCTGGTTACGCGCAGCCAGACACCAGGGCGGTTAGAAGACCACAGCAGGGCGCGGTGCGCATCAGAGAAGCTTTGAAAACGAGTTTTGTGACTGGCCAGGCTACTGTGTGAAACTTCTGTTTGTTTCTCCTTGATGAACCCCCCGCCCCCTCCCCACCCGGTTCACTCTACTTCCCTGTAAACCAAAAACCCCACTCTCCCCTCCCTCTTCGAGCACCGCTTGCAGAGGCAATAAAGTCATTGTTACTTCACATTCATGCATTCTTTATTAATTCATCACACAACTAGGGGGATAATTGCCAAGGTAGCCCGGGATGGGTGGGGGAGGAGGGAAGGAAAAGGACACACTGCAATTTAAAACTTTAACTCTTATTGAAGGCCAGTCTTCTGATGCTCGGGCAATCATCTGGGGTGGAGTGACTGGGTGGCCGGAGGCCCCCCCACCGTGTTCTTGGGCGTCTGGGTGAGGAGGCTATGGAACTTGGGGAGGAGGGCTGTTGGTTACACAGGGGCTGTAGCGGCGGTCTCGGCTCCTGATGCCTTTCCTGCAGCTCAACCATACGCTGGAGCATATCAGTTTGATGCTCCAGCAGCTGGAGCATTGACTCTTGCCTTCTGTCTGCAAGCTGACGCCACCTATCATCTTCAGCCCACCACTTCCTCTGTTCATCCCGCGATTCAGCCCGCCACCTCTCCTCTCGTTCATACTGTGCTTTTCTGTAGTCTGACATTGACTGCCTCCATGCATTCTGCTGTGCTCTTTCAGTGTGGGAGGACATCTGGAGCTCCGTGAACATGTAAGCCCGAGTCCGCCATTTTCTCCTAATCTTCACTAGCCTCTGTGAAGGAGAAACATTTGCAGCTGGTGGAGGAGAAGGGAGAGGTGGTTAAAAAAGACACATTTTAGAGAACAATGGGTAGTCTTTCACGTTAAATTTTGCTGTTCACATTACACAGCACATGTGCTTTCGTTACAAGGTCGCATTTTTCCTCTTATATTGAGGTCCTGCCGGTTTGTTGTGAGAGATCACTCACGCAGTGCCAGGCAACAGATTTCGGCTTGCAGGCAGCCATGGTAAGCCACAGTCTTTTGGCTTTTTTCA